GAGGAAGAGGAGGGGGTAGGGAGAGGAGGGGGGAGAGGATGTCCAGATGAGTGACTGTTCAACACTGTGAGGATAGATAACAAGTTCACTCCTAAACTACATGTTACTGCGTCATCACCCCCGTGTCCTGCCTCTCTTTCCTACCTTTATTGTTTTAACTTTGTCAGTTTATGTATTGTTAAATTGGTTCTATATTTAACTTGTCGTTTTCTATCATGATACTATACCAATACTTAAATTAGATTAAGTTAGGTTACTTTTCGTTATATTAGGTTGGGTTAGGTTAGGTTAGGTTAGAAAATATGTTAATCATTTATCATTTTGTATTATAATTACGTCTACGTGGTCTTCCACACACACACACACACACATTTTAGCTAGAGTTCCCCCTTCCACCACAAAAAAAAAAATCCCTCTGTTTCAGCCAGCCATCCGTCCTAACGTGACATATACAGTATACATAACAGAGATACTTATCTACACGGCCACAACACACAGTACAGTTATCATCCGTCACTACGAGTCCTTTGTCAGTAGTTGAGGGAGTCGGCCACTCACATTTTTCGGTTCACCTGATCAATCTCCACCCTAGCTTATTTCACCTAAAGAGTAACCGCCCTAACACTATTTTGAGGGGATGGGGTTAAGCTAGGTTAACGTAAGTATGGTTACGATAGGTAACTTTAGGTAAGGTTAGTGTAAGTTGGGTTAAGTTAGCTTTAGGATATTGATTTTGCCAGCTACAGCAGCTACTTTATTGTGCACCCCATACTCATCCTGTGAGCGGTAGTGGGAAAGGATTACAGAGTAGAGTTCACAAAGGGTCATTATAACTAACCCCCGTAGTCAGGAAATTATGGCATTGACTGTTACAGAATAATTCACATAAATTCTTTGTTTTGTTCTATACATAAAGGGTAACTTATTCACAACTGCGTGAGTACAGGAGTGTGAGGCAGTGTGTCTGGCCTCACACTTAGTTATTCTCATTTGTGTGAGAGGTATTCAAGCACATTGTGTGTTTGGTTCTGTACATGAGAGCTGATATAGCTACTAAGTACAAAAAAGTGGATACAATCTAAATATGTCGGCTATCTTGCCATTAGAGATGAAGTGTTGTGCCATTTCACACACAGTGTGCTTGGACCTGTCCCTAAAAGGTTCTATCTTCACACAGTCGAGGACGTCGTGCTGAAGTGTGTGGTCTTATGTCTGGCCACACACTGTACATTTAGTCTTTTTCACATCTGGTTGAGGAACATACTGCCAAAGGTACTTATATCCTAACCTTAATCTAGCGGTTACAACATCTTGTACTCTAGTGATCTTGTTACTTGCTCCATATACTGTACATGTTTCATTTGATACATCTCATCACGGTAAACTATGGATCGACTAGTGCCTATTTGCACTTGTCTGCTTGCGTAAAATTCATTAATAAGTTTCTTCCTAATTATAGTTTTAAGGGTTCTTTTTGACAGACCCACATTGTATTCAGCAGTGTCTTTGTGAGACGCGAGTTTGCCGAGGGCATCAACTCTGTCATGTTCTTTGAGGCCTATGTGAAGGGGATCCACAACAGTTTGACTTTGACACACCTGGTCAACAAGGTACGCATATTTATGTCTGGCTTCAGAGACAAGAGCGTGATAACTTGAGTTGAGGATGTCAAGTAGTGAGGTTAGAGAATCAGTGATGATGAGACTCAGTGACAGGGTTTTCAATAAATTTAATAGCTGTGAGTATGGCAACTAATTCAGCTTGTAGAGTGGATGCCCAGTTGTTAATTCTAACTCCTTCTTCAATTGTATTACTGTTAGGTCGAGTCACAACGATAGCACTTCCAGCCCTACCATAGGCGGTGTTAAGAGATCCATCAGTGTAGATGGTCTGTGTGATATTATCATCAGTCTGTAGAGTGTGTATGTGTTCAAGAGCTCTCACTTTGGCAGTGTGTTGGAGATAAATAGTTTGTATAATTAATCTTTTAAGCGGATATGTAGGTATTGTGATATCGAAGGGAACTGTCCGCCAGGGTGGAAGAAGTGCTGTTGTGTCTCAACTTTGTACAGAGGGTCTAGTCCAAACATCTCCATATGTGTAGCTGTAGTTTGGATCCATTTAGATTCAACAGTCCCATGGTTAATACAATATAGCAATTTTAAGGAAACAATGTTATCAGGATCACCACGCAGAAGCCTCAGGGCTATCATCAGGTTGACTTCAATTATTTTATTTTATACACTGGTTATATCTAATTCTTTCCTCATATTAAGTACTTTAGTGCTCTTGGGGCATCCTAGAATAATTCTGAGGGCTTTATTTTGTATTTTTTCGAGCTTGTCGATGCCTTTCCCGTCACGAAGGACCAGGCTGGTGCGTGGTAATCTATCAGAGATCTTAGTATATAGCCTAGGTACATTGTTTTAACAATTATAATATTAGCAGTGATTCGCGGGTTAGCTGTTGTATGGCAGGTAGGGTACAAGGATCGGAGACACCAAGATATTTAAAGGAAGAGACAGTTAAGGTTGTTACCTATCATGAACTTGGCGGGGCCGCGTTTGCGGTTACCAGCTTGTTTGTTGAACACCTAAGTTTTCTCAGTGGCGATAATAAGGCCGAGGTTCTCACAGGCTGACTGTACATGGTTCAGGGTGGTTTGCATTTCACGATGAGTTTTAGTATGTATAAGAATATTATCAGCATAGCTGATTGTGATATTGCTGGGGTTTTCTGGTAGTGAATTTAATAATGCATTCATAAGAATATTAAACAAAGTAGGACTACGTACTCCACCTTGAGGGGTGCCTAGATGCATATCTTTAACTTCACTTTTGTAACCCTGAAACAGTGCAGCAGCCCTTCTGTTGGTTAGGTAACCACTTATCCAGTGTAACAGCCGACCTCCTATATCGATTTTGGCTAGTTCGTACAATATAAGTTGCATATTAGCAATATCAAATGCAGCTTTTAGGTCAAGAAATGTGGTGTATCTGTGCCTTTCATCCCCTTGCACAGTCAGGAATGTGGTGATGCATTTATGTACAACTTTACCATGGGTGAAGCCATTTATGTTAGGAGGCATGTGTTCTCTGATTCTATATAAGAGTCTGCCAAGAACCATCCTCTCAAAGGTTTTACACAGGCAGCTGGTTAGTGATATCGGACGAAAAGCATCAGGCTGTCCTGGTTTCGGTATTGGTACAGCACTACTGCTGGTCTATGATGTGGGTAGTTGGCCCTCGGCATGACAGGGTTTTCAATAAATTTAATAGCTGTGAGTATGGCAACTAATTTAGCTTGTAGAGTGGATGCCCAGTTGTTAATTTTAACTCCTTCTTCAATAATGGATTGCCCGGCACACGCCTTAGTAGTCTAACGATGTTGTAGGTGATTCCATCCTTTCCAGGGGCAGTAGCTTTAGGATAAGTTAGGGTAGGTGAGGTTAGGATAGGTAAGAATAGGTTAGGTTAGTTTCGTTTAGGTTAAGTAAGGTTAGCATAGGATAGGTTAATATTAGTGTGATTAAACTCGAAGTGAAATAAGCTCCACTGATTATTATTATCTATCTATATAAAACAAAGAAGTATGTCTGTTTGTGTGTCCGCACGAGAATCTCGGAAACTACTTTACCGATCTGTAGTGGTGATGGATGGTGTTATATGTAGTGATGATGGATGACGTTATATGTAGTGATGATGGATGACGTTATATGTAGTGATGATGGATGGTGTTATATGTAGTGATGATGGATGACGTTATATGTAGTGATGATGGATGACGTTATATGTAGTGATGATGGATGGTGTTATATGTAGTGATGATGGATGGTGTTATATGTAGTGATGATGGATGGTGTTATATGTAGTGATGATGGATGACGTTATATGTAGTGATGATGGATGATGTTATATGTAGTGATGATATGATTTATATGTAGTGATGATGGATGTTATATGTGATGATGGATGATGTTATATGTAGTGATAATGGGTAGTGTTATATGTAGTGATGATGGATGGTGTTATCTGTAGTGATGATGGATGGTGTTATATGTAGTGATGATGGATGACGTTATATGTAGTGATGATGGATGATGTTATATGTAGTGATAATGGGTAGTGTTATATGTAGTGATGATGGATGGTGTTATCTGGAGTGATGATAGATGGTGTTATATGTAGTGATGATGGATGATGTTATATGTAGTGATGATGGATGATGTTATATGTAGTGATGATGGATGATGTTATATGTAGTGATGGTGGATGATGTTATATGTAGTGATGATTAGACAATAAAATAATAACAGTTTAATGCTAAAAAATATACTTTGCTGTACCGTTGTAGTGAAAAACATGGTGGAACTTACATACACCGTTAATGAACTATTGATGGAAGAAGTTTTGGGGACTGAACAGTGAGGGTGGCGTCCTACCGTGGTTTAGAGAATGAGCCGCCCGGAGGGCGGCGTTTCTGCTAGTTATTATTTTTATTATTGTTATGGCAATCAGTTGTTGATTTATTCTCGTTTACGTACATGATAATCATATCTGTTGGTTTAATACGTCATATTATGTTACCATGGCCTCGGAGTTAGGTTTGGATGGTCGTTCGTTATGAGGTAAAACAGGTGGGAAGGGTGGGGAGTAACGTGTTATAAGATGTGAGGGGCAGAATAATCAATGTGTGTGTGTGTGGTTATCACCTCGCCAAACATGATAAGGAAGTTTTTGAGTACAGCACATCAAGCTAAAGAGGTGGTCAGGGAAACGTATCATCATATAAGTGTGACCTCCTGTAGGTAAGAGGCCACCCAGGGAGGAAATGGGTGAGGGGGAAGTGGTCCTTTTTACTTGAATCTCATACCGATATCTATACATATCTAAATATGTGATGTAAAAGAAGAATTTCGACCTAACATTTCAATCTGTTTCTAAAATATCTACTCAGAAGCTGTTATAATGCTCGTATGAAGGTGAAGGCATCGGACTCACCTCGTCGTAGTGAAGATAGTCCTTCTCCTGGTGACCAAGACCCACAGCACTGACGTTCGAGGTGGAGTTACCCAGCTTGACTCTCCATTCATCCTTCACGTCCTTTTGCTCCCTTATCTTCTTCAGTACATCCTCCCGCTCCTGTATCTCTTTCCGCACGTCCTTCTGTTCCAGTGTCCCTTCCCGCACGTTCTCATACTCCAGTACCTCCTTCCGCACCTCTTCCTGCTTTAATAATATCTCCTCCTTTATCTTCTGTTCTTTCTGAATTTCCTTCTTCACGTCCTTCTGTGGTAGTACTCCCCCTTTCTCTTCCTCCCCCTTCTCCTGTACTCCCTTCATGCCAATCATCACTAGTGTCTCCTCTGTCACGCCCTTCTGCACCTTCTTCAACCCTTCAACCTCGTCCTCCACCTGTTGCTCCGTCCATCTTGAACCTGTGTATAAACCCGACATTAGTAATTTGCATTTCCTAGACATTTTATACCCAATACTCTATACCTTCCAATGTACTATACTTGTCTTTGTAATTCTTGCTCATGAACTGGTGATCGTACACATTAAAATAGCCACTCCAGCTTAAGAGATACAAAGATAAAACACACACACACACACACACACACACACATATATATATATATATATATATATATATATATATATATATATATATATATATATATATATATATATATATATATATATATATATATATATATTTTTTTTTATAAAATCACACGGGAAAAGGGAAACAACGGAGCACCTTAGCTTTCGTCTTTATTCAAGACATCTTCAGAGGCAACTGGATTACATGGACAGAGAGAGGCTTAAATATTCAGGGTGACCTTAAAAACATGCGGTCAGGTCATAATGATGTCATCCACTAATCCCCACGTAGGTGGTCAGAGTAACGACTGCTTTTAGTATCCTGGTGGTCTAGAGGTAGCTTTCCCCGGTCACAGTCATGGGCTCGTGGGCCGTGGGATTGAATCCTGGCGGGTTGAGGTGTTGATTGTATGTAGAAGTCCGCATGCTTTATTGGGCTAATGAAATATATATATGGATCCTCGTGTTTCGAAGCCGGATATGGTAGAACGTTACTCTGACCACCTACGTGATACGGGTAGTCCCCATTAGAGGTTCACGGCGCCATAAGCTCGTTGAACAGGCTTTGTGTGAAATATAACAGAGTCTAGGACTGCTTTTAGTATCCTGGTGGTTCAGAGGTAGCATTCCCCGGTCACAGTCATGGGCTCGTGGGCCGTGGGTTCGAATCCTGGCGGGTTGTGGTGTTGATTGTATGTAGAAGTCCGCGTGCTTTATTGGGCTAATGAAATATATATGGATCCTCGTGTTTCGAAGCCGGATTTGGTAAAATGTTACTCTGACCACCTACGTGATACGGGTAGTCCCCATTTGAGGTTTCACGGCGCCATAAGCTCGTTGAACAGGCTTTGTATATATGTCTAGGACTGCTTTTAGTATCCTGGTGGTCCAGAGGTAGCATTCCCCGGTCACAGTCATGGGCTCGTGGGCCGTGGGTTCGAATCCTGGCGGGTTGAGGTGTTGATTGTATGTAGAAGTCCGTGTGCTTTATTGGGCTATTGAAATATATATATATATATATATATATATATATATATATATATATATATATATATATATATATATATATATACTGTATATGAGATCGTGTTATCATTATTATAACTACGACGAAAAGGCCGTAACATAAATAACAAAATGGATTAAATAAAAATCAATTCGACACAATGAGAGACTCTAAACGTAAGGTGTAAGCATAAGGTGCATGGTGTAAGGCAAGGTCTGATGACCAGTAGTACAGTACCGGGCCTCGAAAATTATTGTAAAAAAAAACAACAAAAAAGACCTATGGAATTCAGACAGCCTAAAAATGAACTCAGCCTAGCCTGGTAATAACCCTCTTCCTCCCAAGTACGTCAATGCAAATACTTGTATAAAGATGTAAATAAGTAAATTTAAATATGAACAAGTAAACGATATTAATACATTATAATAATCATATAATATAATATAATATAATAAATATATTAATTTATTAAGTAATATATGAACTGGCACTTGTCAACTCCAGCAAGATGTGTGCAGCACTACAGCTAAGATAGAAAAGCAGACACTCTGAGAGCTGACATCTCTTACCATCCATTGTGGCTTCGTGAGGTAAACATCTGTTTGTAAGGTGGAATCAAAACACAAAAGACAAATAATGAACTGCAACAGTGTGTAAAATATTACAAAATCTATATAAAAAGATGAGTAGAAAAAAATAATAAATGAATAAAATGCCTTACACGTACAGAACAGTATCTCAAAGGGGATACGATCAATTATGGTGAACTGGACTGCTGTAATTGAGCCATTTAACTGTGGCTTCCTCGTGATGATGTGGGAGGAGTGTAAGGGTGACTGTCAATACCTGGAAATCACTGTGACTGTGTGGGTGGTCGGCTGATTGACTGACTGTTCCAGCGACTCGTACTGTTGAGGGACAGCTGACGCAGGCGATCTTGTTTCAAATTGGATCGGGTATGACGAGACCTTTTACAATGTGGTAAAAAATACGAGGTTTAAGGTGCCGTGATGTATCTTGTAATTTGATTGGTGTCCACCGTATATATAAATCTACGTAATTTACAGTCTTTCGTAACCTGGCTGACTTGTCTAAGTAAATTGTATTAGTGATAAATTGGTTTGTTTGTACTGTCCAATATCTACTGTGCCTGATAAGATAAAACGTTCACTACAATAGATGTACACAGACCACGATAGTCATGACAGTAGATCAAGTACACAGACCACGATAGTCATGACAGTATATCAAGTACACAGACCACGATAGTCATGACAGTAGATCAAGTACACAGACCACGATAGTCATGACAGTAGATCAAGTACACAGACCACGATAGTCATGACAGTAGATCAAGTACACAGACCACGATAGTCATGACAGTAGATCAAGTACACAGACCAGATAATTATGAACTTTATAGCACGTCACCGGAGTTCCTTGTGATGTCATGTATAATGGAGACGTTCTTATATGTTTGGAACAATGAAGGTAATTTCACCACACAACTAACAACCCATTATCCTAAGTCTTGTGTAGTTTAAGATAATTTGAAGTTTGTTATGGATGCTTATATATTTTATTCATCCCAGAGAGAGAGAGAGAGAGAGAGAGAGAGAGAGAGAGAGAGAGAGAGAGAGTACAGTAAATTTTATGTAGAGAGTAACGGAAGGGAGAGAGAGAGAGAGAGTGGTACGGCAACTTGTGTAGAGATAGAAACGGGAAGAGACAGAGGGGGAGAGAGAAACAGTGTACCGTAACTTTTATGTTCATTTTAAATGGCTTTAATATCCCTTACTTGAGTTATCGTCGCTCACTAGAAAGACTCTGGTCGTGGGAGTGTTGTAGTGGTGGTGGTATAGGAGGAAGAGGAGGAAGAAGAACCAGGAGACGCCCAACACGCCCACCACACCTCTCTTCCCCACGCCCACCATCCCCCTCGCCCACCGCCGCCACCACCATCGACTGACATCTGAAAAGAAGATCCATTTTAACCATTTGACTTGTTATTACTGTTGTTGTTTTACCATTACTTGATTGGGTGTAATTAACCTGTATGGACATCACTGATCAGGTAGTCAACCCAGGTGTGTGTGTGTGTGTGTGTGTGTGTGTGCGCACAGGGTGGTGTAATGCGTCTGGTGTGGCAGCTTTATGTTCATGTTAAGGCACAAGCACTGCTTGCTCCATCCCCGTTCCTGCCCCACAGTACGCTACAGTAGTATCTCTTAAAACTGACACACCGATGAACAACAACTTACGGCTCACATTGACCATCATTGCTATACTTCCACCACTAACGTAACCTAACGTAACGTAACCTAACGTAACGTAACCTAACGTAACGTAACCTAACGTAACGTAACGTAACCTGACCTCACCTAACCTAACCTCACTGGACAATTACTATAAAGATGAAGGTTGGTCAGGTGTGCGTCTGACGTCACGAGGGACATGGAATCAACTGAGTGGAATACCGGTTATTTTCCGCAAATTCTCTGTGTGGTGGTTCAGTCATGTGTGTGTGTGTGTGTGTGTGCCCCAGCGCGCTAACTTAACCAAACGTCACGTAGCCTATCCTAACCTGTGTGTGTGTGTGTGTGTGTGTGTGTGTGTGTGTGTGTGTGTGTGTTTCAGAGGCTAACCTAAACTAACTTAACTAAACCTAACCTTACTGTACATAGCCTCACCTAACCTAACGTAGCCTAATGTGCGTCTGTGTGTGTGTGTGTGTATTCCAGCAGACGAACCTAACCTAACCTAACCTAACCTAACCTAACAGTGAATCCTTCCCAGAGAAAACCAGACTGTAACTAACATAAAGAATCAACTCCTAAAGATCCTTTGACCATCTTAAAGGATATCCTGAGAACTTGTGTAGGACATTATAGAATATTTTAAGGTGAAAGAGAAGGCTCGGATGACCACACCTGTGTCCGTGTGTCATGTGTGCTATAGAGTCCAGATGTGTCGTACTAAAATAAGGCATTTATGTTATGGTCAGTGTATACTAAGCGCTCCTCTCTCTCTCTCTCTCTCTCTCTCTCTCTCTCTCTCTCTCTCTCTCTTATTTTTATTTAGTTATTCATTTTTTTAATTCTCTTTCTCCTCTGCTGGGGTTGGGGGTGAAAGAAGGGAGACTGGGAGATGCGAAGGAAGTGAAGGAAAATAAGTGAGATGTGAGGGAAGTGAGATGTGAGGGAAGTGAGATGTGAGGGAAGTGAGATGTGAGGGCAGTGAGAGGTGAGGGCAGTGAGAGGTGAGGGAAGTGAGATGTGAGGGAAGTGAGATGTGAGGGAAGTGAGATGTGAGGGAAGTGAGAGGTGAGGGAAGTGAGAGGTGAGGGAAGTGAGATGTGAGGGAAGTGAGAGGTGAGGAAAGAGTAGGGTAAAGGAAGTGAAAAGTAAGGGAGGGGGAGGAGTGATGGACGTGAGAAGTGAGGAACGTGAGAGGTGAGGGAGGGGAGGTTTGACTCACCCCCTCACCAGGCAGGAAGACCCACTTATGGCTGACTCACTTTGTTATTACCCGCTGACTCATTGCGACTCAGGTGGTCAGTATGGAGAGAACACAGACAGACAGACAGGCAGACTTGGGTACTATAGAGCCAAACGTGATTACATACAGACAGAAAGACGGACATGATTACAGACAAGTAAACAGACAGACAGACTTGAATACTGACAGACAAATAGAAAGATAGACAGACAGAAGTGAGTACAGACAGACAGATGTGATTGTGGACTTAAGACTGAGGTAATAATTTGGACTTGAAGAGAATTAAAAACAAAAATTGTAAAAGAAAAGAAAGAGCAAATGGAAGAGAAATAACTGATGAAAAACGTTACAGAAAAGGTGGAAGAGGAGTGGGTGGAGGAGGAGTGGGTGGAGGAGGAGTGGGTGGAGGAGGAGTGGGTGGAGGAGGAGGTGGAGGAGGAGTGGGTGGAGGAGGAGTGGGTGGAAGAGTGGGTGGAAGAGGAGTGGGTGGAGGAGGAGTGGGTGGAAGAGGAGTGGGTGGAAGAGGAGTGGGTGGAGGAAAGGGATGATTAGTCAAACCTTCCCTCCCTTACCTATCATTTATTTCTAACTTCCCTCACCTCTCTCTTTCCTCAGCTTTCACTCAACCTTACCTCTCACTTCCCTCAATTCTCACTTCTCTTATCTCCCCCATCCCTCAACCCCTCCCTTCCCTCATCTCTCCCATCCCTCACCCCTCCCTCCCTTTCCTGATCTCTCACCTCTTACTGTCTTCCTCCCTCCAATCCCTCAAACCACTCTTCCCTCACTCCCCCCCCCACCAACCATACCAGCGGTGAAAAAGAAATAAGAAAGAAAGGGAGAAAGCAATAAGCCTTAAAACGTAATGAAGAAAGCGATAGAGAGAGTGTGAATTCAGATTACGAGAGATAGAGAATAAGAGAATGAAATACACACCCACTATATGGCCACATGTGACCAAGCTGGCCACCATGTGCAGTATTGGCCAGACTCGCTTCATGGTTCATCAGTGTACCCAGAAATGCTCCACTCGCGTCATGGTGCGGTGGTGTTGATGACTGCCAAGCTACTGCCATCCTGTCTCTGCCATTCACTGCCTTCTATCGTGTGGTACTTTAACTACACACTAACTATCGTACCTCTCTTAACTACACACTAACTACCTCATAACTACATACTGTGCTAACTACGTGTATTAGCTCTCATCATCATCATCATCCGCATCAAGTTAAGACATCCGCTTTGCATCCTGAAGGAGCTACTTGATACCTTCATCTGTAAGGACGGTCAAGGATCACCCTATGTTGCAAGGCTCGAGGAATTAAGGCGTCTGTGGTTCATAAAGTATACACAAGTGATCTCTTATGATACTCACCCTCATAATTCTCCGAGGGACACTGGTGATTATAGCTTAGAGTATCGTCTTTAATTGAGTTACAGCTTAAAGGTCGACCTCGAAAGAAATAGTATTATATATCCGTTTAGTGAGAATAATGTTTGATACTATGATGTCGTTGACGCCAGTGTAGTGAGTCGATGACGCCAGTGTAGTGAGTCGTTGACGCCAGTGTAGTGAGTCGATGACGCCAGTGTAGTGAGTCGTTGACGCCATTGTAGTGAGTCGACGATGCCAGTGTGGTGGTCGTTGACGCCGGTGTAGTGAGTCGATGACGCCAGTGTGGTAGGTCGATGACGCCAGTGTGGTGAGTCGATGACCGGTGTAGTGGTCGATGACGCCGGTGTAGTGAGTCGATGACGCGTGTAGTGAGTCGATGACGCCAGTGTAGTGAGTCGATGACGCCAGTGTAGTGAGTCGATGACGCTAGTGTAGTGAGTCGATGATGCCAGTGTAGTGAGTCGATGATGCCAGTGTAGTGAGTCGAAGACGCCAGTGTAGTGAGTCGATGACGCCAGTGTAGTGAGTCGATGACGCCAGTGTAGTGAGTCGATGACGCCAGTGTAGTGAGAGTGAAATGGAGAACTGATGTGTTTTGTTTTTATTGCGAAAGGGAGATTTAACACTGAAGTAACACCTATGAATATCTGTGACTTAATTAAGAGATGTTGCCGGATTCTTAAAGACTTTGTGTGTGTGTGTGTGTGTGTGTGTGTGTGTGTGTGTGTGTGTGTGTGTGTGTGTGTGTGTGTGTGTGTGTGTCTGTGTGTGTGTGTGTGTGTCTGTGTGTGTGTGTGTGTGTGTGTGTGTGTGTGTGTGTGTGTGTGTGTGTGTGTGTGTGTGAGAGAGAGAGAGAAAAACCGTGAGAATCGTAATATCATGAACTCCGTGTTGACGTCATAAGACCTTGTCCTAGTCAAGAGCATCCTGGACAGCAACAACTCAAACGATTCATTTCTTATTCGGATAATTAATGACAATCTCATAAGCGGGCGGTAGAGGCGGTCGAGCAACATGTAGCATCATCACTACCATAGGGATGTATGAGTGAATGTTTTGGGTAATGACACTTTCCTAGATTAAGCGCTTATGAATGAGTGTACTGCAGGGGATGGTAACATGCAGTTACATTTGGCTGGTTATTATGAACGAGTCAGTGTGGACCTGTGCAGTTGACGATGGGTAATGACGAAGGTAACACATGTCCCTGGTGCGTGTAAAAAATATAATAATAATAATTATTAACGGTTTATTGAAACAGCATGGCAGCCGGAAGGCTGAAAATATACAGTTACATAATTGGGGAATGGTTCTCTTGATTTACAACTAATCTACTAGTAACATAAGTAATACAAATATGATATATAATAACTAGGTGGGGAGAAGCTCAAACTACAAGGCATTTCAACATAGTGACAGTGCAAAAAGTAAGATTGAACGAGAGTGAATACATTGGTTTATTACAAGTTATTGATAATTTTTACAATGGTTGGAACTGGGCTGTTCATATAATGATCAGTTCGTGCTCGTATGGGCTGGATGTGTGTGTGTGTGTTTGTATTTTATGACTTATGAAATATGAAATGTTATACATGATAGTGTGTATATATATATATATATATATATATATATATATATATATATATATATATATATATATATATATATATATATATATATATATATATTACTATATGCAAATAAATCACTGTAGGTGCGCGTGATCCATGTATAACCACAAGAACACACGAAGTTACTAAGCGCTTTCGTGTAATTCACATCTTCAGGGGTGAGTACAAACTAAGGAGTAATACTTGACAAGGCTAATATATACAGTAGAGGAGAGTGAGATCAAGTCACTTACCTGGCGGGAACCAACCAAACTGAAATATCGGGTCTACCTTTCCTCTCAGCAGAAGAGCAGGGCGGCGGTGGAGGACTCGCACCTACGGTGATTTACTTGCCTATATACTGTATATATATATATATATATATATATATATATATATATATATATATATATATATATATATATATATATATATATATATATATACTTCATATATAGATGTATTTATAAAAGGATGTATTCAGTAACAGTGCAAACAGACATGCAGTATACTCAAACAAACAATGCAATCATATAATTTAAACACTGTATACAAACAATTACAAAGACAAACAATGACGACCTGAGGACTCACTAAATTGTCTCCGAGGCATGTCAGTGTTCTACACCGAGACACAAACTCAGAGCACCGACCCTCGACACATCATGAATCAAGTTGGGATTGTCAACTGTGCACAACTTCGTCCGTCGCCCGCATGCTCATGAAAACTAATGTTCCACTTGTTTAACTTAATTCACTCACAACACCAGCGGCCACACATAAACCTCACAGTAGCGTCGTACAGTACGTCCTCCACCGCCGCCCTACTCGACTGCTGAGAGGAAAGGTGGACCCGATATTTCAGTTTGGTTGGTTCCCGCCAGGTAAGTGACGTGTGCAACTTCTCCAGGAAAATCTGACGAAATATTGTAGGTGTGGAACAGTGTTTAGAATCTTATCTTCATTATCTAATATATAATTCTATTTTTTTAATTATAGAGGAATACTTATATGTTAAACTGTGATGTACTTGTGGAATAGACTACCGAGTGCTATAGTAGGATCGGGGACGCTAGGGAGCTTCAAGACGAAGTTGGATAGGCACATGGAAGTGCTGGGATGGGTGTGAAAGGGATCTGCCCTGTATGGGCCAGTCGGCCTCCTGCAGTATCCCACTTTCTTATGTTCTTATGTTCTTATGTACTCCTGACTAACAAGTGTGTATGGGGTATTTGTTAAATAAATTTCTCAATGTGTTAAAGTTCGAGGGTTAGATATAGAGACATTAATCACTTACATAATGACTCTTAAAATTAGACACAAGTTTATAATTATCCAGACAGGAGCAACAGTAGGTGAACGCTTTAGATGTGTTTGTAACGATGAAAGAAACACACTTCAGTTAGTTGCCCTCAACATGCGTAACGAAGTTAGCTTGGCCATAATCTACGTTAAGCTTCCCTCCACCCACTGGCACCCACCAGCGGCTTCTGTCCTGACTCCTGACAGTTGACTACAGCTCATTTGCCAGGCTGGTTGAGGCCAGTTGCTACATCATCCTTTTATCGCGTTCAATCAGACACTGGATTGAACGTCAAGACCACCTTTACACGCAAGCGTTCCCAGATCACTGTTATATACAACTGATATTAGGATGTACAGTTCTTGGACGAATGTAAATTTAAAATGAATTTGTTACATGACTGTAATTCGCAAGAGAGCAACTGTGTCCTCGTTCATGCATGGGTGTGGGCGAGTTGTGTGGTCCGCCAGGGAGGGAGTAGGTGGGTGCTGCTCCGGGTGAACAGTTGGTTCGGTGGCTGTGTCGTACTTGTTGTGGTTGCGTCCTAGTGTATGTGTCTGTGAAGGGAATAGACCAGAAACTGTCAAGCGATATCAAGAAACTTCAACAAAATCTAGAAAGTTTTATAAAAAACTTAAAGACGCAGAAAATACATCGCTCCTGCCACTCACGTTAATAAATCAAGGTGTTGCAGCTGATAGTTGTGTGTTTTCAGTTATTCCTTTGAATTTGTGTTACGAGACTAATTTATTTACCTATGGAAGCGGTGTTCAGTCCTGGCCACTTATATGTAATCTGATACACAATTTCAACAACCAACACAATTATTAAGTTGAATTGGTCCGAACAGTGTTACAAACTCAAGACCCACGAGTGAAAAATACGTTCTTATTCCCTTTATCGTACATCGTATGCAATGTTCCAAATGTCTCCCTCATTCATCGTCCAATAATAAGAAAATATGATGTTTACGTCACTGAATCGAGAACATTTTGAATAGTTTTTTCGCTTTTTGTCTGTTTTCTTTTTCGTTGCTTCCAGTCGCTAGGTTTTTGACACCATTCTCTTGTGCTGTTGTTCACATACATTCCTCAGAAGTGTCCTGAAAGAGAACAAAAAACATTATTAAATCACTAAGAGACACAGTATGTAAAGCTGAACAAGTAGGTGAATCAAAACAAATTCTAAATATAACAACTGAAGGAAGTTTGCAGAGAGATATAAGAGTGGTTTAAACCTTTCCCAAATTAAGCCAACAGACAGTTCATAAAGTGTGATCTTGTTAATCTTTCTGTTCATATTTCTTACCTATTTCATTATTCAGCTTCAACTTCCTCGTAGCTGGGAAAAGATCACACTACTGAATACATTGTCATTAAGGCCCCTGTACTGAGACTCCTGTTATAGACCCGTATATAATAGCTTCTCTCAGTAACCAATGATCACACAAACTTGGATGATGTTCGCGTCAACCATTCTCTCTCTCTCTCTCTCTCTCTCTCTCTCTCTCTCTCTCTCTCTCTCTCTCTCTCTCTCTCTCTCTCTCTCTCTCTCTCTCTCTCTCTCTTAATCGATCTGATCATTCTTCTTCCCCTCATGTTCTCTCACAAATCTTACCTACATCCTCGTAACTGATCTCACAAACACATGGTATTATTCTCGCTCTGTCGTTCAAAGCCTCAATACCAACACAGCCTGAGTGTTGCCCAGTGTCCTATAAGAGGTCATATACCGTGACTAATGTATCAGACTAAAATTAACAAGTATATTTTTTCTTTTCAAGGGAGTGATAAGACTGACTCTACTTCCTTCAGTGTTTCTTAAGGTGTAGTTGTGTATTATGTTCTTCCAGGATAATAAGAAGGTGTGTGTGTGTGAGTATAATCAGAAACAATAGTCATTAGGTCTCATGTTTAAGCTCTATTACAACGGTACTATTCAGTGAAGTTAGTTATATAATGTTGTAATAATAGCAAGTTGCGGTAGATGTGTCATGATATTGTGACTGCTAGTTTTGAAAGAAATATATGACAGAAATATGTATAATTATGTTTATTGGAACATAGGCAGCAGTGTGAGGTGCCGTTAATATGTTTTTTCCTACTGACTCATTTTACCTCTTGTCTCAGTTACCTGGTGGTGGTATGGTCACCGTCTCCTGCACTGCTCTGAGGACGCCGGTTCGAGAATTCTGGTTACCTCGATAACAAGAAGTGAAGTTGTCTAATGGAGTGACGCATCAAGAGATATATAGTGTGGTGTTGGCTGTTAAAATATACATACAGTGTGGTGTTGACAGATAAAATATACATACAGTGTGGTGTTGACTGATAAAATATACATACAGTGTGGTGTTGACTGATAAAATATACATACAGTGTGGTGTTGACTGATAAAAGATACATACAGTGTGGTGTTGACTGATAAAAGATACATACAGTGTGGTGTTGACTGATAAAAGATACATACAGTGGGGTGTTGGCTGATAAAAGATACATACAGTGTGGTGTTGACTGATAAAATATACATACAGTGGGGTGTTGACTGATAAAAGATACATACAGTGTGGTGTTGACTGATAAAAGATACATACAGTGTGGTGTTGACTGATATAAGCTACAGTGTGGTGTTGACATAAAGCGTCGTGATGGCAGAGACAACATCAGCTAGAGCTATTGACAGGAAGATGTTACCAATGAAAGTTCACTATTTTATTAGGTTTGCAGGTGAGTTATTACGCCAGGTGTGTTTCTCTTTCTGCTCAGGTATTTGTATACGTATTGGTATCTATCTATCTATCTATCTATCTATCTATCTATCTATCTATCTATCTATCTATCTATCTATCTATCTATCTATCTATCTATCTATCTATCTATCTATCTATCTATCTATCTATCTATCTATCTATCTATCTATCTATCTATCTATCTATCTATCTATCTATCTATCTATCTATCTATCTATCTATCTATCTATCTATCTATCTATCTATCTATCTATCTATCTATCTATCTATCTATCTATCTATCTATCTATCTATCTATCTATCTATCTATCTATCTATCTATCTATCTATCTATCTATCTATCTATCTATCTATCTATCTATCTATCTATCTATCTATCTATCTATCTATCTATCTATCTATCTATCTACTGTATATATCTGTTTAACTCTGTCTACATATATGTGTGTATGTATGTCTCTCTGGTACAGGTGTTTGGACAGGTACTAATTAACCTTGATTAACTAGTAACTCACCTCATCCCTCAGTATTACAGTACAGAGTTAATTTACCTGAGTGTACGTGCATCTTACTCCTACAGGTGTTACAGTGAGTGCCAAGGTAACACACTTAGAGAGATAACCGAGTCTTAATATTGTTACAGGTACAGGCCCTCTGATACCTTTCCTCTCAGTGATCGCCCGGCAGAAGGGAGTGTCTGAACAGGTGGTGGGTGTCATCTGGATGGTGTTACCCTTCAGCAGGTAAAGTCCTATTAACAGTACTTTGTGTCTTTCGTGCTAACCTTCTTCAGGATGATGTTGTTATCTGTGGGTGTCTAGTCTGGTGCTCGATGTAGTTCAGTTAGGCTTTACTGTTTGTGTCGGTGAGTGTCGCCAGGTGGCTCTTGTCGTGTGTGTTGAGTCGGTATAGATGGTGAGTGATGTCAGGTGGCTCTTGTCGTGTGTGTTGTGTCGGTACATTGAAGTACAGCAGGAGGCGTCACTGGTTAGGTTATCCGAGTCACGTAAAAGATGATAGAAATATCTTCGTGGACTGTCTCTTTTACTGTCATTATACAGTTTTTTATTTTTACTACAATACGTAAAATTTTCAATATCCACTTAGTTAGGTTAGGTTAGGTTACATACTTATGTTGGGTCAGATTATGTTAAGTTACGAAGGCCTTCGACTCGGTCAACAGGGAAGCCCTTTGGTGGACCCTCAGCCGTTTTGGTAGCCCACCAAAATTCATTGCCATAGTGAGGCAACTCCACGATGACATGAACGGCAGTGTCCTGCACACTGGCACCCAGTCTGAGTTCTTCACCATACAAACGGGGATAAAATAATGATGTGTACTGGCACCAATTCTCTTTTCCATTTTCTTGGCTGCCTTCCTTACTCGTGTCAGTGTCAAGTTAGCCGGCAAGGTGGACATCGAGTACCGGATGAAGGGTCTTTTCAACATAAGACGACTCCAGGCAGGAAAAAAGGTGTCGGCAGCTTCCATTACTGAACTTCAGTATGCAGACGACCTCACCATTGTCGCTCACACTGAACGCGACCTACAAGAGATCCTGATTACCTAAGCAGATGCTAATGCACACTTCGGCCTTAAGGTGAATGAACGTAAGACTCAAATTCTTTTCAGCCTGCCCCTGGTTTAGCCACACCTCCACCATCCATCCAGCTTGACGGTACTACCCACTCTAATGTTACCCACTTTCAGTATCTCGGTTCCCATCTGTCCACCACTGCGGACATCGATGGAGAGATTCAACTTCGGACCCGATGTGCATCTCGAGCCTTTGGTAGACTCTGTACCTGTGTCTTCAGCTGTAGGGAGCTGAAATTATCTACAAATATACACGTATATCGAGCAGTGGTCCTCCCCACCCTGCTATCTGACAGCGAGACATTGGTCACAAACAGGAGGTACCTTATGGCACTTGAAAATTTTCACCAACGTAGTCTACATTCCATCCTCCAAGTTCGCTGGGAAGACAAGAGAATAAATGCCAGTATTCTCGCTGACACCAACTGTGGGAGCATCGAGGCTGCCATTATCCATGAACAATTATGTTGGACTGGAAATGTTATCCGCATGGACGACAGTAGACTGCCAAAACAGTTACTTTACAGTCACCTAACGAATAGTAAACGTAACCCTGGCGGGCAACTGAAAAGGTATAAAGATAGTCTTAAAACAAACCTGAAAAATGCCAAAAAGACCCTCTCACCTGGGAGACGATTACTCTACTTTCTACACCATAACGTTTGGAGGAGCACCACACGAAAAGGTGTCAATACACTCGAGTTAGCCCGACTGCAAACCGATGCAGACAAGCGCAACGCCGGAAAGACGCTGATATACTGTAAGCTACATACAGTGTGGTGTTGACTGATATAATATACATAGTGTGGTGTTGACTGATATAAGCTACATAGTATGGTGTTGACTGATATAAGATACATACAGTGCGGTGTTGACTTATATAAGATACAGTGTGGTGTTGACATAACGCGTCGTGATGAGAGAGACAACATTAGCTAACGCTATTGACAGGAAGATGTTACCAATGAAAGTTTACTATTTTATTAGGTTTGCAGGTGAGTTATTACGCCAGGTGTTTTTCTCTTTCTGCTCAGGTATTGTTTATTTGTATATATGTATACGTATTGGGCATCTATTCATCTGTCTGTATATCTGTTTAACTCTGTCTGTCTGTGCAACATCTGTGAACGACTTTACCGGTTCACTAACGGCCTTTTTAGTCATCTCAAAACTCACCAACGAAAGGTGACATCCCTAATAACTCATATTATTGTATCATAGCTGGATGATCGTCATAATCGATTCCGAGTGACAGCAAAGTAGTAGTAGTAGTCTAGGTTAGGTTTGGTTATGTTAGGTTAGGTTAAATGATTTCAAATTTTCTATAATACCCACAAGGGTTTATGTTCTACAGCCTGGTGACCAAGACGTTTGTAGGGGCTCTCGCTGACTGCTTGAGGGCACATCGCGTTATATTCTTGAGCGGCGTTGCCCTTATGCTGGCGGCTCTCTCAGGCTTATACTGGGTGCCTGATGTCCCCACACACTGCTCCAACACCACGCTCCTTCCGCAACCTCTCGCAGATACCGTTACTTCCCATGACTCTCTGACCTCCCATGACTCTCTGACCTCCCATGACTCTCTGACCTCCCAAGACCCTTTGACCTTTAATGCTTATATACCCACCAGTATCCCCTACATGACCCAAGGTGACCCTAGTAACGATAGTCATGCCTTACCGAATCTCTCTGGGGTGGAGGTCGGGGGTAATGAGGCTGGCGATAAATTACTTCCTGGGCCTCCAACAGCCAAGTGTTTAACCTCAGCTCAGGGACACACAGGTAACGAATGGAATAATGCATAAATAAAATAAGAAAGACGAAACGTAAGAATGAAAAATGAAAAATAATTAGATGATGAAATAGATTTGATATAAAAAGAAACAGGTACATGAAGAAAAAAAATCCATTTATAGTTACTTGAGAATTAAATAATGAAGATTCGATTCATATGCTACACACCCCCACTCAACCTTCACGCACACACACACACACACACACACACACACACACACACACACACACACACACACACACACACACACACACACACACACACACACACACACACACACAGACTAACACTCCATGACTAACTCTCTTGGTGGTTTCTTGTTGGCAGTGGAGCATCTGTCTGCAGGAGTACTGATAACGCGACACGAGTTCTGGATGTTGTTCATGTGTCTTCTGCTGCAATATTGTGGCCATGTTACCGTGATCACCATGCAGGAGACAGTGTGCTTCCAGATGCTCGGTAAGTCGGACCAATAACCTTATCCCCTCCCTTCTTCCTCCTCCTCCACTTTTTTTCACCCTTCTCCTCCCCATCTTCCTCCTCCTCCTTACCCTTTCCTCCTCCTCTTCATCATCATCATCATCATCATCATCATCATCATCCCCTTCCTCCTCCTCCTCCTCCACTTCTTTTTCATCCTTCTCCTCTTCTTCCTCCTCCTCCCCATTTTCCTCCTCCTTCTCACCTCTTTCTCCTCCTCTTCATCATCATCATCATCATCATCTTCCTCCTCCTCCTCCTCCTCCTCATCTTAGCCTTTCATCTGGTGACAGTAGAACTCTCCCTCAGACACACTTCTCTCCTACGCAAGAGTTCATAGTCTAAATGTAAAATTAATGAGCGTTTCCAAAATCCCTATATGAATATTTTCCTCCTCTAGAAGGTAAAAAAACTGTCAAGTGTGTGTGTGTGTGTGTGTGTGTGTGTGTGTGTGTGTGTGTGTGTGTGTGTGTGTGTGGTTGTAAGTAGCGACGTACACACATGATCCAGGTGGTGTGATTGCAGGTGAGGCGCGACACAGGTACGGGGAGCAGCGGCTGTGGGGGACAGTGGGCTGGGGCATCTCAGCTATGGCATCAGGGGCGCTCGTTGACTGGTACTCTAAGGTGAGTGTCAACCATACCTTCCTACTGTACTTCCTTCTTGCTACCTGTGTATACTTTGTTGGTTAATTCCTTTATTATGCGTGAAAAAAGTAATAGTAATTTTATATATTTTTTGGTTTGTCTTTGATATGAATAATAGTTTATATGCAGAACATTTTTAGTACGTGTTTTTGTTTTTCCTTCTGACTATGAATCGATTTATTTTTTCCTATAGTTTTAAAATTTATTACTGTTTCTCTCCTTTTCTTCTATTTTATTTATACTTACTCTCCTGTAGTGTAGTCTATCATAATTAATTAACCAACTACAGCAGGTAAATTAACTAAAGGCTCAGTCCATTTCTTAGTTACAATAAATTTTACCTCTTATTGTCGTCACACTTGTCTGTCGTTGAACTCAGCACGTGTCGTCTTTGCAGGGGTCGCAGCAGAAGGACTACTTGCCAGCTCACCTCATGACGGTGGTGTTCTTGCTGGTGGACCTGGTGGTGGTGGCGCGACTCAGGTACCGTGTCCCTGAGAAGAAGATGAGTCCAAAGACTCTTCATGGTGCTCTCTGGCGACCCCATATTCTCCTCGTACTGGTGAGATGTACTGAGTCATACTGGTTAAGTCCCTTGAGTCATACTGGTGAAGTGCCTTGTACTGGTGAAGTGTCATACTGGTTAAGTCCCTTGAGTCATACTGGTGAAGTCCCTTGCCTGGTGAAGTCATACTGGTGAAGTGCCTTGAGACATATTGGTGAAGTCCCTTGAGTCATACTGGTGAAGTCCCTTGAATCATACTGGTGAAGCACCTTGAGTCATACTTTTGAATGGCCCTGAGTCATACTTTTGAATGGCCCTGAGTCATACTGGTGAGGTGCCCTGAGTCATACTGGTAAAGTTCTCTCATACATGTAGAATCGTATACTGTGTTATTTACTAGTGAAAGATTTTATTCATTGTTTCTCCATCAGAAATATTGTTTACTGAGAGAGGAGTCTATGTGTGCTTATGGTCAGTGTGTTATCAGGTTGTCGTTTGGGGCTGGAGAGTAAAGGTTTGTCAACTTCTGGGGAAAAGTTTCTTGTTGAAGGTACAGTTGGTGAAGAGTGTTTATTTGTACTCTACCTGGACGCATATACGGTATACCTTACCTAGGTCTTCATACAGCTGTTGTCTAGTGTAGTTAGCAAAGTTAGTTCGTGTTAAAAGACCTTTATAGCTGAAGGCAAAGAAGTACACAAACAAATCGTATGAGTGTAACGTTTCCAGAATTCATGCTAGATATATTCATAGATGTGTCAGTCATATATCCCTCCCGTGGTAATGGTTATATTCATCCTGTGCTCCGTGGTGATACAGGTGACCCTGTTGGTAATAGGAAACACCTGTGGAGTCTTATGGACGTTCCATCTCCTGCTGGTGGAGGACGTGGCGCGCCTCTGGGACCCTCACTTTCCACACCTCAGACTCCTTCAGGGCCTTACCCAGGGCGTTCAGTGCTTTCTGGCTGAGGTGCCCTTCTTCTTCCTTGCTGGTGAGTTGACTTCCTGCGTTCCTCAATCATCGTCAGTCTCCATATTTCGTGCCTTAAGACTATTTACTCAGGCAGTAGATGTGAGTAAGTTTTGAGTTACAGAAGACTCAGTGTTGTGTTGTTCCCTCTTCCTTGTCTTGAGGGAAGAGGAACTAGAAGCTGCATTTAGCAATGAATGATTATCGTGTGTACAGTTTTAATTTCTTTTATATCATCAACGTCTCTTGTTTTGTCCATCTCTGTGTGCCTCTCTCGCATTATTGCATGAATTAATATTTCGTTCACCTCCCTGCAGGTCGTATCGTCAAGAGGATTGGCCACGTGAACAGTTTATTAATTTCACTGGTGGGGTTCGCCGTCCGTCTCAGTCTCTACGCCGTCATTACTAACCCTTGGTGGTTCCTCCCGGCTGACCTCCTTCATGGCATCTCTTTCGGCATCGCCTACCCCACCTTCACCGCCTACGCCAGCCTGGTGGCTCCTAAGGGCGCCGAGGCTACCACCCAAGCCATTTTCGGCGCAGCGTTCTTCGGTGGTAAGTCTGTTTAAAGATGCATTTAAGAGCAGGCGCTCGTCTCCTGTTCCATGGGTCGGTGGTTCGATCCCCAGGAACACGTAGTTCATTAAACTGCAAATGGCTACCTAAGTTTACAACTTGGGGAAGTGAATGCTGTCGAGAGCAGTACCAGCCATGCTGTGTTGTATCCACACCGCTTCGAACGGGCAGTCATGCCTATGGACTCACTTGCTCTTTAAGAACAGGTTGCTAATTGTGTCTTACATAGCCATTGAATATTCTATTTCACCATATATTTATAACCCAGAAAGCAAAATTTAGACTTGTACAACAAAAGGGCGTTTTTCAGAGTCTAATTTGGCTTTATTTATGCTTAGGTTTTTTTTTATACATGCAAATATCCGTATATAATAAATCACCTAAGCTAAGATATACCCCCCTGAGGCCCTCTGTGGTTCATGGCTTGGAGGTGTGAACAGTGATAGTGTGTCTGAAGAAAATGTCCACAGTAATTAGTTAACATTACGCAAAGACCACACGAGTCTTCAGTGTGAGTGTCAGCTGTCAGCAACATCTGTCTCACTCCCTGATGTGTGTTGCTTCATCCTGATTACGTCACTGCAGCAACAATATCCTCTCATGTAATCGTGTTGACAAAAGAAAACACTGACGTTCAACCTAATAATAATGATTATTACTGATACAATGAGAAGATTTCACTTGGTGTATTAGCTTTCATAAATGGAATGGCGGACATTACCTAGATTATTGAAGTCTTTCCAATTTTTTCAATAACAATAACAGTAACATTAACATTTGCAATACCAATAAAAGTAAAAAAAAAAGTATACGGTCATATGCTTTGAACCAGGAATAGATACCAACTTACAGCCTGTATATAAGCTAATTTAAAATCTAAGCTGACGAGAGAAAACGATAATCACGTTCCCATAATCTGTTTAAAATTATTCTTGGTATCTTTAATAACTAATATGTAGTTCTTTAACACACATCAACTATCAAGCTTTAATAACACTAACCTTATAACTAGATATTTAAGTTTATTCTATATTTCAAGGACATCATAACAAACTCGTTGGTAATTGAACAGGCGAACATATTCTTCACGATGTAATTCCTCACAGGATCGGGACTGGGCGGGTTGATCGGTGGATGGTTGTTTCAAGGGATGGGTGGTCGGAGAACCTTCCTCGCGGTCGCCATATTCAACGGGATCTACGCCCTAGCCTTCATATCTCTACACACTCTCATCAGCCGCCTCTGTCCCGGGAGCCCTCAACACGGTAGATGACTTACCCAGCACGATCTATGTTTCTTCCGAGTATTTTATCTTCCATTATATTAGTCCTCTACCCTGTTCTTATTTTCGTAACTTATGTTTATTTTTTGTTTATTTTCGCTTATTGATTACATTGTTATTTATTTATTTATTTATTTAGATTTCTTGTTTGTTTCCATTGTTGATATAATGTTATTACTGCGCTTCAACAACGAAAAACAATTATGAGCGGTAAAACTGTATATTTTGTTTTCTTATAAGCAATAGTTCTCAAGTATTTGTTAATTTGCCATCGTAGCCAGCTGCCGTATGTACTGTATATAAATAAATGTGTATGTTTAGGATTGTGTGTCAGTAGTCATCAAGAACGAGTTTTTTTCCCCACTTTTTGTTCAGGTTATATAACATCATTTCTCTGAACCCACCATCACAGCCGCCCACGCTCCCTGTAACACAATACTTCCTCATGAACATTATCTTGTCGCCTTATATATTAGTGTTTGTTTTATTATGTACTGTATTTTATCATGAAAAGTTTTGAATTTTAGGGTTTCTATTTTAAGTAATTTCTAGCTATTTGTGTAATACGAGTGTGAAACATATATGTATTTTTTCACACACACACATACACACACATACACACACACGTTTTATTATTCTGTAGGAGTCACGTTATTTACACAGCATCTAAATCTTGTTGCCTCATTCCAGAAGTAGACAACGGAGAAGCAAGTGAAGGAGGGGTGAGGCACGAGGAAGGGGAAGAGGAGGAGGAGGAGGAGGAAGAGAAGGAGGAGATGAAGATGGAGGAGGTACGTCTGGTTGATCGTGTAGAGAAACAGCCTCGTTTAGTCCCAGGTGGTCGAGTCCAGACTACGTGATGTCTCCTGATACTTAAGACATCTGTTTTATATTGTCACTTACTGCTAGTCGTCATAGATGGCTCTTCTGTAGACATATTTATACAAGTGAAAATAAAATCAGACATGAAGTAGAAATAAAGATGGTAATAGTAATTGTAGTTATTTTTTTTTTTAGTTAATGAGAAAAAATATACATTGGTTAAGTTGCCAGATGAACAACAAAGAAAGAAGTTGTTAAGGTTGTTTAGAGATAATTCAGTGTAAGAGATTAAGATTCCTGCAACCTCATATTCCGTACCTCCTTATCTGTAGTGTATGTTCCTCGACGGTGCCGTTCTGTGTATGGCTGGAGACAATGGTAAGTTAGTAAGAGTTGCTAAGGAAATGATGATGGCAGTTTCCTCCCTGTTAATATCTCACAACAGTTAATAGTCAAGCTAAACAAAATGTTAAAATGAAAATAAAGTAAATATTTTATTCCTTACAGTACATGTCTGATTAATTTGGCTATCAATATTACACATGGTTATGTATTTACATACCGTCAATATACTAAGATATGTGCCTTATGTTCTTTTATATCAGTCACCATTGAAAGAACGATTTGGTTTTCTATGAAATATGTAAAAAGATGTTTGTCCCTTGAAATTAGTTTATTTTGTGTATTTAGTGTGAATTATATTGGTTCAATGTAATTTCTAATATTTTGCAATCATATAATATTATGTACTTATACAATACTTATACAAAGAAGTTTTGAGTTAACAATCTAGTTGGAGAAGATGTATTGTTGTTTACATGGGAGATGCTCTCTCCTCCAGGGTTGAATTCAGGGTGTAGATGTTAGATCAGGACAGTGATTGTATTCTTGTTTCATCCATTGTATATCCTGCATTTTGTTATTAATTTATTACCCAGCATTTAGGGTGAATACTAGGTGATACATCTGTGAATGGAGGAAGAGCCTTATTGTGAGATTAAGATTAATAATTTACTAAATCATTTGGGCCACATGGCCATGAAGTGTCAATGTTTATACACTGTTTTGGGCCGAGGAGTTGGAGCGATGCTGAAAGAGGAAGGTTATTCAGTAGTGGCCATGACAATACTGAATCAGAAACAAGTGTATATACTTCTACTATATAGGATATCCAAGGATCTACACACAACTAAAATATGGATCCTATGTTGGTTTCTCCTCTGATCTTATTCCTGTTCCTTCACGAAATATTTATCTAGGAAGACAGGCTATATGACTCAAGAAAACTAACACTTATACGATGAATATTCCAGTTAAAGATATATGACCCTTTTGTGATTGGTCTTCGTTTAGTACAGAAGACCAAAGGTTAAAAATGTACCTTTAATATATAATTGTAGTAGTGTGAGGCTGAGAGGGGAGTTCAATGTGGTCAGGTTCTGAGTCAAAACTTACAGGGTGTTGGTGAGGAGTAGAGTGCAAGTACCAACCAGGCAGTGTGATGTAAACTGTACCATTAAGTGTACCCGTATAGAATTACAGATGCTTTATCTATCTATATAAAACAAAGAAGTATGTCTGTTTGTGTGTCCGCACGAGAATCTCGGAAACTACTTTACCCATCTGTAGTGATGATGGATGGTGTTATATGTAGTCATGATGGATGGTGTTATATGTAGTGATGATGGATGATGTTATATGTAGTGATGATGGATGGTGTTATATGTAGTGATGATTAGACAATAAAATAATAACAGTTTAATGCTAAAAAAATATACTTTGCTGTACCGTTGTAGTGAAAAACATGGTGGAACTTACTTGCACCGCTAATGAACTATTATTGATGGAAGAAGAAGTTTTGGGGACTGAACAGTGAGACAATGTGGAGCCTCCCGGAGGGTGGAGTCCTACAGTGGCCTAGCAAATGAGCCGCCCGGAGGGCGGCGTTTCTGCTAGAACATAATAGAGGTAAAGTTATGGTTTTTATTTACCATGAGGGAAAATGGATGTGAGGAGGGTGAGAAATAACGCAGTTGTGTGAGTGGGGGTGTGTGTGTGTGTGTGTGTGTGTTATCCCGTTTACTCAAAGGACGGCCGTAACTTAACCAAAAGATAATGTTAATAATAATTTGAACTTTTCATCAGCCATAACATCAAATGAAGACATTAATTAACTGAAATACGTCATTTTAATCTTGGTTGCAAACGCCCGTCGTGTTGACGGTGTGTAACTACCAAAGTGATTGTTACTCTTACAACGCTCGTCACACGACCAAGTATAGCATGTAAACAAACTCGTGATGCATTGATGAGTGACTCGGAGTGAGGATGGTTCAGTCTATCACAGTGCTGCCGTTTAACAAACTCGTGATGCATTGATGAGTGACTCGGAGTGAGGATGGTTCAGTCTATCACAGTGCTGCCGTTTAACGGAAATTCGTCTGCTAGACGGCAAAAAAAATAAATTCGATGACGTAGTCGGTAAAACACAGTCGGAATTACGGCAGCCCTGCAGGGTCTGTCAGTGTCGTCGGAAGAGTTAAACATTTCGGAATTGTTTTTGTTTTATGCGAGTATTGGTGGCGTTAAGAGCTCTCGCAGTGTGATAGTTGCGGTGGCTGGCAGTGTTGAGGCTATGGTGTCGGGATTACTGTGGTATTTAACAAGAATCGTTTAAGATTAAGAGGAGTGTGAACTTGGAAATATACCCGCTGTGGCTACCACTGTGGAGTGGATGCCTACCTGCTGTGGAATGAAGGCCTACACGCTGTGGAGTGAAGGCCTACCCACTGTGGAGTGGGGTCCTACCTGTTGTGGAGTGAAGGGCAATCCAGCAATCGTCATCGGATATCGGGTTTTACATAACGGAGTTTGTTCCCACGCAGCACCCGTAAAGGTTAGTAAACAATAAAATAATTAACTGATTGAGAACTAAGTCAACTTTTATCACCGGTGTTATAGTCAGTTGTGCTTAGAGAATATTCTTTTATCCTTTACTCTTTGTAAGTTAAATTTAAGAGAACGACCAATGGATCATTTAGAAAACCGCGGTCTTATGTTCTCTTGTTTTATGATGGAATTTTCACCAAGGAAATAAATCTTACTACCCTTCTCTAACGTTATATATAAAATATTGTCCGAGTAGTGACCTATTAAAAGAAAAACGGTAAGAAAACGAATTTGGTAAACTAATAATAATTAATACCTCTATGTCCCGAAGACCTGTGCCTTGGCTGGCTCATGTATACCAATCTTTCCGACTTGATATCACTGAAGTTTTTTCCAATTGAATTATTTGATAACTAAAAGTTCCTAAAATCTTATCTATCTATATAAAACAAAGAAGTATGTAATAATAATAATAATAATTAATGGTTTATTGAAAAAGTTCTGCAGCCCGAAGGCTGAAAATATACATTGGACATAAATGACTTATTACATACATTGGTGGTTTAACAAAAGCCTTCATTAGAGAAAGGTAAAGGAACATACAGTGAACATACAGATTAATGTAGGATTGTATGTGTTGAACAGCAAACACGTAGTGTAGTAACTCCCTCCCAGATGGTGTTAGGAGGGACCTCACGTGATGCAGTAGTTCCCTCAGATGGTGTTATGAGGGACCTGACGTGGTGTAGTAATTCCCTCGCAGATGGTGTTATGGGGGACCTCACGTGGTGTAATTACCTCACAGATGGTGTTATGAGGGTCCTCACGTGTAGTAATTCCCTCACAGATGGTGTTATGAGGGACCTGACGTGGTGTAGTAATTCCCTCACAGATGGTGTTATGAGGGGGCCTGACGTGGAGTAGTAATTCCCTCAGATGGTGTTATGAGGGGGCCTGACGTGGTGTAGTAATTCCCTCACAGATGGTGTTATGAGGGACCTGACGTGGTGTAGTAATTCCCTCACAGATGGTGTTATGAGGGGGCCTCACGTGGTGCAGTAATTCCTTCACAGATGGTGTTATGAGGACCTGACGTGGTGTAGTAATTCTCCACAGATGGTGTTATGAGGGGCCTGACGTGGGTAGTAAGTCCCTCACAGATGGTGTTATGAGGGACCTGACGTGGTGTAGTAATTCCCTCACAGATGGTGTTATGGGGGGCCTCACGTGGTGCAGTAATTCCTTCACAGATTGTTATATGTGTGAGGTTTGGTCCCAGGCCTTCCTATCGTAGACGGATTAACACATCGCTGGTTGTTGTTGGGATCTCACAGGCCGTTGTCACTGGTGCCTGGGACCTCACTGTGAAGGTTTAGCTGGTTAGACTGTTGCTGTTGAGTTGTTCTCACTGACTTAAGCACTGTTCACCACTGTTCACCTCTGTTTAACACTGGTCATTCCTTTCCTAAATGAAATTGTAACTTCTGGCGAGAACTTGTTGATATTCCGGTGGGAGGAGGGTTCAGGGAAGGGGTTGGTATGGGCCAACTAACAGTTGACCTGGCTGCTGAGAGGACAGGTCGTCTTGACCCTTCGGTGGTCAGGATGTCTGTTGTGTGTGTGTCTGTGGGTGGCACGAGAATCTCGAAACTACTTACCGATCTGTAGTGATGATGTATGGTGTTATATGTAGTGATGATGATGTATGGTGTTATATGTAGTGATGATGGATGGTGTTATATGTAGTGATGATGTATGGTGTTATATGTAGTGATGATGATGGATGGTGTTATATGTAGTGATGATGGATGGTGTTATATGTAGTGATGATGGATGTTATATGTAGTGATGATGGGTGGTGTTATATGTAGTGATGATGGATGGTGTTATATGTAGTGATGATGGATGGATGATATATATGTAGTGATGATGGATGGTGTTATATGTAGCATGTGATGTTATATGTAGTGATGATGGATATATGTAGTGATGATGGGTGGTGTTATATGTAGATGATGATGATATGTAGTGATGGATGGTGTTATATGTAGTGATGATGGATGGTGTTATATGTAGTGATGATGGATGCTGTTATATGTTGTGATGATGGATGTTATATGTAGTGATGATGGGTGGTGTTATATGTAGTGATGATGGATGGTGTTATATGTAGTGATGATGGATGGTGTTATATGTAGTGATGATGGATGATGTTATATGTAGTGATGTTGGGTTGTGTTATATGTAGTGATGATTAGACAATAAAATAATAACAGTTTAATGCTAAAA